CCTCTCAAAAGTGAGTTACAGTTACTCAAGTTAATGAGACAAGAAGGGGATTAATAAAATGATGATTGAGCACTGATGATGATGAACACCGAAGCAGAAACACAGATGAGAAACACAAAACAACAACTGACTTCAGTCACAGCCTTAGATGAAATCAGCTGAACTATAATACATTGTATTACTTAATCTCAGCAGAGGATCAAGTTGAACAATAAGCAATTTCACAAACAGCAGCTTTACTTATTACCAACCTGTTTGCCCTTATTTAAAGAGGGACCAAATACTCTCTAAACTGAGTAAATTTGTTTTAAATTTAAATAAATAAGTTTGAATAAAAGGTTTTTTATTCTATTCTTGCTAAGGAATATAGGGTTTGTGAATGGATATATTTGAAAATATTCAAACTTAAGTATTATTATAGTATTATTAAAAATCATTTTTAATTGGGAAGGTGAAAATCTTTTCTAACTGGGATATTAAAAAACCCTTAGCATTTAGCCCTGTATAAGTCTCAAATTTAATTCATAGTGGTCATAAAAATGTCTTAATGTCTTAAATTTAACTTGGTGAAACCTGCAGAAACTCTGTATTAATATAGGTATTCATTTAAATCAAAATACAGCATATTATATTGTATATCTTACATAATCACTGAAAAATAACATGCATTGTAAACAATTTAAACACTTTGGTGCCTTTCATGACAACACTCATCTGCTGTTTCCTCCTCAGCTGCCAGAATGTGAATTGCCAAGAACCTCATGATTTAATTTGTGTGGCATTTAAGTTCATTCTCCTCTTGAAAATAAGATAGAACACACTTTTAATGTTAACTCAAGGAAATCAGCATTTGTTTGAATAGTTGTTTTTATAGTTCCTGCCAACTGTTTGAACACAAACAGGTTTTCTGTGTTAATCAGCACTTTAAGGCAAAAGCAGGAAACAAATTAAAATCAAAACCAAAATACTTCAAATTATTATGTGACTACCTCGGGTGAACCTTGTACAGTTTCATACTTGAATGTTCCCCATCAAAGGTTAAATATAAATCAATTTATAGTTAAAAGTACTAATGTAAAAGGGGGCGGTGCGGTGGCTCAGTGGTTAGCACTGTCGCCTCACAGCAAGAAGGTTGCTGGTTTGAATATCGACTGGGTCAGTTGGCATTTCTGTGTGAAGTTTGCATGTTCTTTTTGTGTTTGTGTGGGTTTCCTCTGGGGGCTCCGGTTTCCCTTGTGCTATACAGTTGAAACCAGAAGTTTACATACACTATATAAAAAGGCACATAACCATTTTAAAAAGTCAGATGTTAATGTGACATCACATCACACGTTAGAATTATCACATTTGTTTTTGTTATGCTTAATATCAGAAAAATGAGAGAGAGAGATTTTTTGAGAAATTGTTATAACTTTTCTTGAAAGTCAAGTTTACATACAATAAGATTAGTATGCCCCTGAAAAAGCTCAGATGATGGTGTCAAGGTTTTGGAAGTTTCTGATTGGCTCATTGACAACATTTGAGTTAATAGGAGGCACAACTGTAGAATAGTATTTAAGGAAAACCTCAATCACACTGCTTCATTGTGTGACAACACGGGAAAATCAACAAGCCAAAATCAGCAAAAAAAGCCTGATTACAATTAGATAAACTACACTGGGAAAAGTAATAATTTTGGAGACATGTCCTGTGGTCTGATGGAACTGAGATTGAACTGTTTGGCCATAATGACCAGTGTTACATTTGGAGGACAAAGGGAAAAGCTTACAAGCCTAGGAACACCATCCCAACTGTGAAGTAAGGGGCAGCAGCATCATGTTGTGGGGCTGTTTTGCTGCAGGAGGGACTGGTCCACTTTACAGCATAGATGGCATCATGAAGAAATAACATTATGTAGAAATACTGAAGCAACATCTCAAGACATCAGCCAGGAAATTAAAACTTGGCCACAAATGGGGCTTCTAAACAGACCATGACACTAAGCACACTGCCAAATTAGTTAAAATGTGCTTTAAGGACAACAAAGTGAAAGTTTTAAAGTGGCCATCACAAAGCCCTGAGCTCAAGCCTATAGAAAAGTTGTGGGCTGAAAAGAGTTGAAAAAGCTTGTGCAAGCAAGACATCCTACAAATCTGACTCAGTTACACCAATTCTGTCAGAAGAAATGGGCCACAATTCCTCCAAACTATTGTGGGAGGCTTGTGGGAGGATACCTAAAACATTTGACTAAAGTTATACTGTTTAAAAGCAAAACAAAAAAAATACCAAGGAAATGTGTGTAAACTTGTTACTGTCTAGAAATTAATAAAAAATTCTAAAAAAATAAAATAAAATAAAATAAAAATCTCTCATTATTCTGGCATTTAACATATGCAAACCATTTAGGTAATCGTAACAGAAGAAAATAATAAAAAAAAGAAAAATAGTAAAAGTTTAATATGATTTACCATCAGACATTTTTTAAAAATGGTTATGATCCTTTTTTTTTTTAGAAGGTATGTAAACTTCTGGTGTCAAGGTGAATTGAATAAACTAAATTGTCCATAGTGTATGATTGTGTGTGAGTTTGTATGGATGTTTCCCAGACATGGGGTTGCAGCTGGAAGGGCATCCGCTGTGTAAAACATATGCTGAAATAGTTGGTGGTTCATTCTGCTGTGATGTCCTCTGAAATGGAGACCAAGCTGAATGAATGAAAAAATGAATGACAATTTAGGATATTTTTAATGGTAAATGACAGATTTCTGTTCCTCCACTTAAAGTCTATTCACTCAAAACTCTCACACTTTACAAAAGTCATAAAAACACGATACAGTAAATGCATTAGAAGTATTTGATCCAAATCCTCAGAAGATAAATGTTAACTTTATGCGATGAACAGATTTAATAAACACTGCTAAAAATGCTAGATTCCACACAATCTTATGTTTGGACGACATAAAGGAATTAAGTTACTTGTTAACTTGTTAATTAACGTGTTAGTTTTGCTCAAATTTAAGTGGATTAAACATAAAATAATTAAGTTGCCCCAAAAATCCCAGCTGGGCCTGTTGGAATATCTGTGTGGAGTTTGCATGTTCTCCGTGTGTTCATGTGGGTTTCCTCTGGCTGCTGCTGTTGTCCTCACAGTCCAAAGGCATGCGCTATAGGTGAATTGGGTAAGCTAAATGGTCTGTAGTCTATGAGTGTGTGTGAATGAGTGTATATGGGTGTTTCCCAATACTGGGTTGCGGCTTGTTGCTGGAAGGGCATTCAGTGGATAAAACCTTTGCTGGAATAGTTGGCGGTTCATTCCGCTATGGCGATTTCAGAAATAGAGTCTTAAGCCGAAGGAAAATTAATGAATAAATATTACTCTATTTGCCAAAGATTGGGTATTGTATTGGTTAATTGGCTAATTTATGATGATTAATAAGGGAAATTAAATTATGTGTATCCAATGTGTAAATGTAAAAACAATGTGCACAATGAATTGACAAAAAAGCACATTAAAGAAACTTAATTTAACCACTTGTGGGTGAGTAAATAATATAAATTTTTCAGATTTATCAGATAAACTGCTGCCCATGTTAATCTGATTGCCAAGAGCTCTCCAATCTGTGAAACTTGGCACTTGAGGGGATTTGTGTGGAAATATGAGGTTGAGTATTTTCACCTGAGGCTGATGGATGAGCGCATGTACCGTACTCCAGAAAAGCTCTGGCTAATGTCCTCCACGTCTCTGTGTTCAATCCTGTCCTCCTTAGTAAACTAAAGCCTGGTGTCTAATGTGATTTGTAACATGAATCGTTTGGCAGGTTAGGATGTGCGCGCGTATAATTCTGTCATTGTGCGCCAAGTGCTGAGGAAAAGAGTGTGGATTGTCATCCGGAGTAGATGGTTCTCAGCTGAATAAATCACTTTTGGAAATTAACACGGACACATCGTTCTTCGCAAGGCGTTTCTGACAACTCTCCCACTGTACTAAAAAACCCGCCGGAGCTTTTCTTAATTGCATTTGTTGTGTTAAAAGGTTGATTTCAGAGGAATTTGGTTTTCAATTAGGAAGGAGTCTTCACATTTAAAGGGATAATCACACAAAAATGATCATTTATTCAAGTTTAATTGTGCTTAAGTATTTACAAATCTTCAGGAGACTTTTTTTCAAAACATAAAAGAAATGTTGAAGAATGGGTTGCAAAAGAAGTAGCCATTGACCTCCATTGTAGAAGAAAAAAATACTATAAAAGTCAATGGTTTCCTATACATCAAACTATTTTGTGTTCAGAAGAAACGCAAATGAGTAAATATTCGAACCCTTGCACGAGTACGATCACACCGGTGTGATCAGCCTTGGCTGGTCCCTGAAGTGTATGATCACACTGGTGTGATTTACCCATGCTTTCAAACAAATAACATTAGTTTTAGGTTTCAGACATTCAAACACGCATATCTACATGCAAAACATGCCCTTTAAGGTTTGTAAAATACACGCGGATGTCTACTAAGAAGGCAACAACAATTATTTTACCAATATAACTGGACTATGTGCTTTGTTCACATAAGATACACAATGTTTATGTTACTAGAATATTTTCTCTACATCTCTACCAGATAAACAGTTGCTCACCTTCATGTTTTTTGGTTGAAAATTATGAATAAGCACGATGTAAATCCAGCAGCTTGGATTTCTTGTTGCTAGAAGAGATACAGCTGTGATCGGAAGCTAAGGAGAAGTATTAATATTATTTATTAAGTTTCATCTTGTTATCTTCCAACTGTATCCCTTCTAGCAACATGGTGCCCATTACCAGTCATATTACTAATAATATGATCATTATTACGCTGTTTAAAAGACAAAATATATGATCTATTACTGGGTAGGAATAAGGTTGAGTGTTGTTTCATTCTAAAACTAAAGGAGCTTCAAATGTAAAATAAAAAATGACATTCGGCAGTCTTGTATGAATGGTAAGAATGGTAGTTATTTAATACTCTGTTTTTATCTCTTCTCTCTATAGCTAATCACCTCCAGAACAGAAAAACAGAGGCCGATGGGTAAGCGAGACTTCTAAAATGTTGCTTGTCCTGCTGCTTTTGGTCACAGATCGGTCACTGTCTTCTTCTTTTCTCAGCTATGAAATGCACGCCAAGGCCAAAAGGAGCCAATTCAAACAGAAGGGCAGAAGTATGAACTCCACGGGTTCTGGAAAGAGCAGCGCCACAGTGTCCAGGTACTTTATTTGCTGTTTATTTATTCACCCGCAGTGCATACAGACTGTTTTTCTCTTATATTTTTATAATAATTTCTAAACATAATAGTTTTAACACTAATTTCAAATAACTGATTTATTTATTTTTCATCTTTCCCATGATGACAGTACATAATATTTTAGTTCATATTTTTTCAAGATACCAGTATTCAGCTTAAAGTGACATTTAAAGGCTTAACTACAGTAGGTCAGGGGTTTTCAAAGTCTAAGACAGTGGGCCTCCCTTTTGACACAACTTATCCATTGGCGCCCCCCTCCTCCCAAACACGCACACACACACACACACACACACACACACACACACACACACACACACACACACATACTTACACACACACACACACACACACACACATATATATATATATATATATACATATATATATATATATATATATATATATATATATATATATATATATATATATATATATATATATATATATATATATATATATATATATATATATATATACATATACATATATATATATATATAGTTATTATGGCATGTAATTATTATTACTACTAATTAAATAGTTAGAAAATATTGTCAGAGGATGGGCAAAACACAAAAATAAAACTTAATATGCGCATTGACACAAACGACCAAGTGCAAAAACATAAATTACAGCCATGCTCATTCATAATTATGTGAAATAAATGACGAGAGGGTAAGTTTGGTTAAAAAAACTGAAGTTCATTGACTTATGCACAACAGTAAAACAATGCTTTTGCACAACAGTAACACATTGCGAGTAGTAAAGTCTCTTACCTTTGACAGATGTTGTAAATCCGCTGAATAAAACAAAAGAAGCAGATCGCGGATGTGTTTATTTTACTCTCCGAGTCAGAATGAAAATGGCATCTTCAAATTTCCCGCTGGTGCAAAAACACGGAAGTGCGCCACAAAGCGCTAGTGGTCGAAAGTATGCGCGCATGCTTTCTGTCACACACACACACACACACACACACAGAGATAGAGCGCTCCGTGTCAACATACTTTTTATCTTTGGGCTTTTTATAGAAAGTAGCAAGTCTTTACAAGTCAATAGGCGCAAGTCCAAGTGAAAGTCCGAGTCATTTATGTTCAAGTCCAAGTCGAGTTGCAAGTCTTTTTATATTTTGTCAAGTCAAGTCTAAAGTCATCAAATTCATGACTCGAGTCTGACTCGAGTCCAAGTCACATGACTCGAGTCCACACCTCTGGAGGGGGCGAGATGGATTAATTCGCCTAGCACCCCTAAGGACCCGGATGATGAGGTTATGCTTTCCCACGGTGTCGCCAGCTACCGCGTTATGATAAGCGGAGATGGCGGCCACGTAAACCTTGAGAGTGG